ATATAAGGGTTTATAGTTTGTTAATAGCGAGTATGTGATACTCAAACTCCAACTTCCATGTGATCAGTAGCCAATACTGGGAAACTTAGGACGTATTATGAAAATATCCTGAAAAAACATGAGAGTGAATAACGCCATTGAAAAACACCAGGTTCTTCACACCGGCAGGTTTGACGGGTCAAATGACAGGGCTTTCAGTACTGTGGTGTGAGAGATTATGACCCACTGTCTGCTCACAGAGATGACACATGAAGTGATGAGGAATGAGACACGTCACCTGTAGCCACCTGCCACAGGTAACGGTAACCGTCTGCCATAGGTAACGGTAGCCACCTGCCATAGGTAACGGTAGCCACCTGCTACAGGTAACGGTAACCGTCTGCCACAGGTAACGGTAGCCACCAGCCACAGGTAACGGTAGCCACCTGCCACAGGTAACGGTAGCCACCTGCCATAGGTAACGGTAGCCACCTGTCATAGATAACGGTAGCCACCTGCCACAGGTAACGGTAGCCACCTGCCATAGGTAACGTTAGTCACCTGCCACAGGTAACGGTAGCCACCTGCCATAGGTAACGGTAGCCACCTGCCACAGGTAACGGTAGCCACCTGCCACAGGTAACGGTAGCCACCTGCCATATGTAACGTTAGCCACCTGCCATAGGTAACGGTTGCCACCAGCCACAGGCAACGATAGCCACCTGTCATAGATAACGGTAGCCACCTGCCACAGGTAACGGTAGCCACCTTCCATAGGTAACGGTAGCCACCTGCTACAGGTAACGGTAGCCACCTGCAACAGGTAATGGTAGCCACCTGCTACAGGTAACGGTAGCCACCTGCAACAGGTAACGGTAGCCACCTGCTACAGGTAACGGTTGCCACCTGCCACAGGCAACGATAGCCACCAGCCACAGGTAACGGTAGCCACCTGCCACATGTAACGGTAGCCACCTGCAACAGGTAACGGTAGCCACCTGCTACAGGTAACGGTAGCCACCTGCAACAGGTAATGGTAGTCACCTGCCACAGGTAACGGTAGCCACCTGCCACAGGTAACGGTAGCCACCTGCCACAGGTAACGGTACCAATCTGTCACAGGTAACGGTAGCCACCTGCCACTGGTAACGGTAGCCACCTGCCACTGGTAACGGTAGCCACCAGCAACAGGTAACGGTAGCCACCTGCCACAGGTAACGGTAGCCACCTGCCACAGGTAACGGTAGCCACCTGCCACAGGTAACGGTAACCACCTGCCAGTGGTAACGGTAGCCACCAGCCACAGGTAACGGTAGTCACCTGCCACAGGTAACGGTAGCCACCTGCCACAGGTAATGGTAGCCACCAGCCACAGGTAACGGTAGCCACCTGCCACAGGTAACGGTAGACACCTGCCACAGATAACGGTAGCCACCTGCCACAGATAACGGTAGCCACCGGCCACAGGTAACGGTAGTCACCTCTCACAGGTAATGGTAGCCACCTGCCACAGGTAACGGTAGCCACCTGCCTCAGGTAACAGTAGCTACCTGCCACAGGTAACGGTAGCCACCTGTCACAGGTAACGGTAGCCACTTGTCACAGGTAACAGTAGCCACCTGCCACAGGTAACCGTAGCCACTTGCCACAGGTAACCGTAGCCACCTGCCACAGGTAACCGTAGCCACTTGCCACAGGTAACCGTAGCCACCTGCCACAGGTAACGGTAGCCACCTGGCACAGGTAAAGGTAGCCACCTGCCACAGGTAACGGTAGCCACCTGCCGCAGGTAACGGTAGCCACCTGCCACGGGTATCGGTAGCCACCTGCCACAGGTAACGGTAGCCACCTGCCACAGGTAACGGTAGCTACCTGCCACAGGGAACGGTAGCCACCTGTCACAGGTAACGATAGCCACCTGCCACAGATAACGGTAGCCACCTGTCAGAGGCAACGATAGCCACCTGCCACAGATAACGGTAGCCACCTGTCACAGGTAACGGTAGCCACCTGCTACTGGTAACGGTAGCCACCTGCCACAGGTAACAGAACTCCAACCTGATCGTGGTAACCACTGTGTCGCACAGTCTGGTGGACGTTCTGTGCTACCCATATACAAAATTATCAGAACTAAACAAATCCCAATTTTTTATAGTAATCCTTTCAGGACGTTGAGAGTTGGCGATTTCTCTCCCTATCTGTCTTCAATGTTTGGAATCTTAAAAACAAAGATGGGATTCCTAAGTCTACGTGAACTTCACCCTTGTTGCATGCTAATTTAGCTGCAATATCTGTGTTATCAGGATGGGTTATACTTGTATGAGATCTTATCAATGTAAAGGAGATTCTAAAGCCTTTATTGTGTTCAGCGAGCAACTTATATATAGTGCTATATGAAGCTGTTAACTTTTAATCAGCCTATTTATGTCTACACACACAAAAAAACAGATAAGTTATCAACTACGTTAATATCTACAAACACGAAACTTACATAACACAGGAGTCTCTACTCTAAGTGAAACATATAATTGTACTTACATGGAGCTAATGTATCTCTTCCTTTCCATAAGTCAACACTTATATGAGTAAACTATGCTACTGTTACTTAAACACTTGTGACCAAAGCGATGTTCACTACCCACACAGCCACAGTATCTCACGGTACACTCTTCAGGTCACTCTGGGGAAGCCTTGACGGAGGATATAGTTCAGGAATGTTCCCACTTAAGATGAACTCAACAAATGAGGCACTAACGCGTCTCTGCCAAGCTCTTAACCTCCCTCTGCCTTCCGAGCTCTTAATCTGCCTCTGCCTTCCGAGCTCTTAACCTGCCTGTGCTTAAAACCTTGTCGAGTACTCGGTATCCACTAAGTTCGCAAGCACAGCCACACGCGGGCAAGACTTGGCCCCTTGCCAATACACTACCAGACAAACACAACCAGGTCCTACAATGCCTACTCTTGCGCAGTTTGTCTAAGGTTGTAAAGATGCAGCAATGTTGCATTAGTAGAGACTTGTGTCCTTGAGGCGAGGCTTGATGCAGGCGGACGGTGTTGACTAGGGGCTGCTGGTACGACACGCTGAGCCTCAGAAGCGAAGCCAATCAGGCCTTCGTACCAGCTAGGTCCCAATGGTAAACACTCTGATTGGGTTTGTTAATCACGATGATGAGCGGAGCCTCACAGGCGAGACCAGTCAGGACTCAGTAACACATGGCAAAACTTCTGATTGGTTTTGCTAATCAAGACGATTCGTGAAAACAAACTAAAATCCACTCAACACCTTGAGTGTGTGTGAGGTAGCCCGCTGTAGATAACACGCTGTAGATAGTATTGTGAGTCAACCACAGTTGATAATTCCTTTTCTGGTCAACTCTCTCTTCTCTAAGAGCTGACTATCTATAGTCTGCTCACATTGAGAGCAACAGGTTAGATTCCCTGGCCATTCATATTGGTCTGCAAGCATTTTTCTCTGTGTGCAAGCAGACATATGCTGATTATTTATGATGTTGGCTTGAAAACATCTTGATATTTTCAAGTATTTATTAGAAATATGGTTCTTTTATTTCTACGTTTCCATTTATAATTACTTATTCGGATATTTATATAATAATTTCGTAATATTATTCTGTAATTCGTTTTTTTAAACTTTAAAGGATCGTTGCCAGTTGTATTAAGGATGGTCATATTTATTTTATTTACAAGTAAACATGTAAAAATTGAACTCAACTTGACTTTTTTACATTCATTTCAGATTATAACTTTTATACAAGATGGATTTTTTTTTTTTATAGATAACAAGTTGGTTGGTTTTGTTACGTAATATTTGAGAGATGATTTTCAACACATGAGAAATATGGCATTTGGAAGACCGGTCTTACCCGAAATATATATATATAAATAGATATTTTGGTTAACTCTGATGTTGCATCAGGGGTTAAACATTGAAGTGTGTCATAATGTTGATAAATTTATATGTACACTTACATCTCATAAGCAAAAATAATCAGTAAATTGTTTATATCAGACTGTAGCTTCGAGATGACGTAAATGTTTCTACTGTTAAATGTTGACACTGGTAGACTGTGGTGGTGACTGGAGGCCGTCAATCATCACTGGTAGACTGTGGTGGTGGCTGGAGGTTGTCAATCATCACTGATAGACTGTGGTGGTGGCTGGAGGTCGTCAATCATCACTGGTAGACTGTGGTGGTGACTGGAGGCCGTCAATCATCACTGGTAGACTGTGGTGGTGACTGGAGGCCGTCAATCATCACTGGTAGACTGTGGTGGTGACTGGAGGCCGTCAATCATCACTGGTAGACTGTGGTGGTGACTGGAGGCCGTCAATCATCACTGGTAGACTGTGGTGGTGACTGGAGGTCGTCAATCATCACTGGTAGACTGTGGTGGTGGCTGGAGGCCGTCAATCATCACTGGTAGACTGTGGTGGTGGCTGGAGGCCGTCAATCATCACTGGTAGACTGTGGTGGTGACTGGAGGCTGTCAATCATCACTGGTAGACTGTGGTGGTGGCTGGAGGCCGTCAATCATCACTGGTAGACTGTGGTGGTGGCTGGAGGTCGTCAATCATCACTGGAAGACTGTGGTGGTGGCTGGAGGCCGTCAATCATCACTGGTAGACTGTGGTGGTGGCTAGAGGCCGTCAATCATCACTGGTAGACTGTGGTGGTGACTGGAGGCTGTCAATCATCACTGGTAGACTGTGGTGGTGGCTGGAGGCCGTCAATCATCACTGGTAGACTGTGGTGGTGGCTGGAGGTCGTCAATCATCACTGGTAGACTGTGGTGGTGGCTGGAGGCCGTCAATCATCACTGGTAGACTGTGGTGGTGGCTGGAGGCCGTCAATCATCACTGGTAGACTGTGGTGGTGGCTGGAGGCCGTCAATCATCACTGGTAGACTGTGGTGGTGGCTGGAGGCCGTCAATCATCACTGGTAGACTGTGGTGGTGGCTGGAGGTCATCAATCATCACTGATAGACTGTGGTGGTGGCTGGAGGTCGTCAATCATCACTGGTAGACTGTGGTGGTGGCTGGAGGCCGTCAATCATCACTGGTAGACTGTGGTGGTGGCTGGAGGCCGTCAATCATCACTGGTAGACTGTGGTGGTGGCTGGAGGTCGTCATTCATCACTTCTAGACTGATGAGTGACGGACCCCAATAAGATTATCCACAAGTTAACTAGTGGTGACTTTCGTTTCACCTTCACCCCCAACTTCAGCATCCAGCTCGAAATCGCCAAAGTCTGATGAGACTGAAGAGGCAGAGCTGCACCGGTTGTCTACCTGGCTGACTGAGTGCGTCAGACGCGGGTGCGTCGCAGTAGACTCACTTGCAGTCTCTACTCCGGAATCAAGAGAATGTGCGTTTTCGATAGACAGCTGCGTGATAGTGGTGGCGATAGACATGATGCGACTTCCTCTACCGTGGACCTCGGGTTCGTTCCCCGGCGACTGGTGGTGTCTCAGCGAGCTTTTACTATCAGCTGGGCTGGAGCTTCGGCCCAGGAACCTGCCCAAGTTGCCAGTGGCACGCGACAGCTTGCCACGGTTTTCTGACGTCAACACCAGGATGCAGAAGATGCCCACTCCCCGCAGGGCATTAACGCTAGAGGGAATATACCACAGGTAGTCATACCAAGCAGTTGAGGGCTGGACGACGTACTGCGCCACTAGGAAGGCGACCACCTCCATGAACCACGTCGCCCCGGACCACACCACCAGGAGTACCGACTCCCTCCACCTGTAAGGCAACCCAGACGACATTCCCCTTGTTACAAAATGTTAAAACAAATTTATATCAAAACCTTAAAATGAGAAGTTTGTTAAAATTACACTGATAAAGGAAGCTGTAAACAAACACAAAGTCCAAGTTCCAAAACTTCCTATGAAAATAGAAGAAGAATTAAGATGTTATGCTGCTAAAGCCAAGAATAATAATTGAATTGATCCTAATCAAGTAGTGTAAATACAGACAAAAGTTGTGATGGAGATAAATAAAACATGATAAGTTTTAGATAAAGAATTTCGCCAATAAAAATCAACTTGTAAAAAGAAGAGCATTTTTTAGTATTTCATCAAAAGCGAAAGAACCTCGTTTTCTATTGTTCAGCAATTCAGAGCCGATACACTACGTACCCAACATGAACTTGAGTCCTGGCTTTGTTGCTGTTGACTCTTCCATTTCACAGTAAATACTTAAATGCTCTAATCTTTCTAACAAACGTGACCTAACATAAGCCTACCCTTCCATTTATCTTTTTTTCTCTTTCCTTTTCTTTCTCTCGTCTCTCTCTTTTTTTCTGTTCATTGTTTTCTCTTACGTTTCCTTACTATCCTCTTCTTATTCCTATTACTATCCCTTTCTCATTCGGGGGTTATAATAGGAGCTGCCTCGTATGGGCCAATGGGCCTTCTGCAGTTCTTATTCCTACTACTATCCACTCTACTACACCTTACCGTTCGTATCTTTAGCCTTGCTCCTCACCACTCTCTTGCCTATTTATTGCCTGTATCACCACGCACATTCAGCACCGCTCCTGTGCCAGGTAAGTCCACCACGGGCTCACCATAGCCTGTGCTACTGGCCCCGCTCCTGTGCCAGGTAAGTTACGGGCTCACCATAGCCCGTGCTACTGGCCCCGCTCCTGTGCCAGGTAAGTTACGGGCTCACCATAGCCCGTGCTACTTGCCCGTCACCATAGCTAAGTTACGGGCTCACCATAGCCCGTGCCCCGCTCCTGTGCCAGGTAAGTTACGGGCTCACCATAGCCCGTGCTACTTGCCCCGCTCCTGTGCCAGGTAAGTTACGGGCTCACCATAGCCCGTGCTACTTGCCCCGCTCCTGTGCCAGGTAAGTTACGGGCTCACCATAGCCCGTGCTACTTGGAACTTGTTCCGAGTAGCTGAATCTATAACAACAACAACAACAACGTCCCTCATCACAATCGACTTGAGAATGGTCCAGGACGGACCGAAACGTCTTCGTCCCTTCACCTTCTAGTGTGTGGTCTGGTCAACATACTTCAGCCACGTTATTGTGACTCATCGCCTTCTATTGTTATTGAAAGATCTTGAGATCCTAGAGCGGCCAGCTACCTTTCCCAGCGCCTCCATGTCGATGAACACTAATCCATGCCCAGAGGGGAAACGCACACTCTCCTCAGGTCTTGCCCGGAACCCGATGATCTAGAACCCTAGTCATTGTAATGCGTTCCTTTATTTGTAATCAATCGATAAATTTGTAATCAGTAATAAAACACGAAGTACCAAGACAAATTAACAGGGCTAGCAGAAGTAAATAATCAAGTACTTCTAACTGGTTTCGTCCCATCAGGGTTCCTGACCTGATGGGACGTAACTGTTATGCCCGGGATATTGTAAGAGACTGAAAGTTGAGGTGCAATCAGTGAAAGTTTGATTTAATGTAATTGGTAAAAAACTGTTTCATTTAAATTAAATTTAGCAAAATTGTATAAGTAAATGAAATTAAGATCAGACATGAAAGAACTAGACTCTAAAGATGGAAATAAAGTGAGAGATGCAAGAACAGAATGTTAACTGACGAGGGAAGAAGACTGGACAATAAAGTCATCAACATTAACATTGTTTATGAATAATTTATCCATAATAAATATATTATTTATCAGAGATTATTTATCACTGATCAATAAGTAATAGTCACCTCAACAGAGTTTTGTAGAACTCCACAAGTTGTGTTCGAGGCGGGAGTTGAAAACAATAGAGACAACGATGCATTTATTGGACAAAAAGTCTGAAATAAGGTGCCTCAAAAAATGAAAGATTAGAGCTTAGCCAGTTAAGATTTGTGCCTTTGTTAAAAGCTTAAGATTTATACAGATCTTTAGTAAAAAGAAATGTAAACGAATTCACAATTTAAGGATGACAATATATGACGAGGGTAAGATAAATTACCTCCGGTAGTACACGGGTCTTCCGGAAATAAGTCTATAAGCTGCCATTTTCAGGCGAAGAGGCAGCTAATGAGTCTTTCTAATTGCGAGAAAGGTTTTCAGTTTGATTCATAAAAGTCATGATATATATTTATGTATATAAATATCTATATTAATATTCATGATATATCTGAGCATAATTCCTTCCAGAGATAACAAAAGAATGGTTAGCTGCGGGAATACGTTGCAAGAATCCTTTACAAGGATCACAAACCTCTACTGAGTTGCTGGGAGCTGGGCCCAACAAACCAAGGTGTAGAGGTAGGACAAACCAAGGTGTAGAGGTAGGACAAAGGTAGGAGAGGGTAGGGTAGGAGGAAGGTAGGAGAGGGGCATAGGAGAGAGTAGGGATACAAGGAGGAAAGGTAGGAGAGGGTAGGGTAGGAGGAAGGTGGGAGGGTAGGGTAGGGTAGGGTTCAGGAGACCGAAGGTAGGAGAGGGTAGGGTAGGAGGAAGGTAGGAGAGGGCATCAACAGTGACACTGGGGTGAAAGCTTCCACTGAAACAATGATAGTTTCAATATTGATATTGAAACTGATCAATATCAATATTGATACGTGTGTATTGCACAACGAAAATCAATAGTCACCTCTTGGGGAAATGAAGATACAACTTCCGATGATTGGTTCACTCGGCAGACCGAAAGTGCCAAAAGCACTTTCTCTTTCACTTTTAAAAGCACTTTCAAAGATCTATATGATTTGTAGATGCAGAATGCATAAAAGATCTTAAGGGTAGATGCAATATATTTAAATGACGAGATATCACAAGAAAGAACATAAAGTGCCTGTGAAGCGTGTGTGAATGTTAATCTGGACTGTCTGTTATGTGTTGAAGATAATCTCGAATGTAATTAACTGAGATGTTGAAAGGTGTTTTCACTCTTAGGATCAGAGGAAGAAGACTGAAGTAACTTCATATAACGAACAATAAAATCCCTCAAGAAGCAGGAATGAGGTCAGCAAATATTGAAACAAGACAGTTGCAGCCTAGTTTGCTAAATAATGAATGAGGACATGGGTGAAGCTGGTACTTTGCTCGCATCCATTCTAGAGTACAGTGACCGGAACTACACACACACACAACACAACAAGTCGGGGTCCCATAAGAGCAAGTTCCAGTTACTAACCATAATATAATTATAATTTTAACCCGACCGTTTATGCAATTTTTACCGGTTTTAACCAATATTCCCAAATGTTGATTGAAATCTCGGAAGCCTAAACAATACATAACGACCCAATACATGTGTAAGTGTATTAAAAACCAAATTTGCGGATGTAACCTACGTCCTTTCTCAAGGAATAGTATACAATGTTCTGAACAAGATTATAGGAGCTTGCGTTTTAAATCTGGCAGAAAGCCTCACTTGTCCTCCATCATTTAATGGCATTTTGACTACGCTCCCCAGACTCGCCAAGGGACGTCCCAGGAAGTCGCAATGGGACGCTCTATGGAGTCGCCAAGGGAAGCCCCAGGGACTCGCCAAGGGACGTCCTAGGAAATCGCCAAGGGACGCACCAGGGAGTGCCAAGGGACGCACCAGGGACGCCCCAGGGAGTCGCCAAGGGACGCCCCAGGGACTCGCCAAGGAACGTTTCAGGAAGTCGCCAAGGGACTCCCCAGGGAGTCGCCAAGGGACTCCCCAGGGAGTCGCCAAGGGACGCCCAAGGGAGTCGCCAAGGGACTCCCAAGAGAGTCGCCAAGGGACGCCCCAGGGAGTCGCCAAGGGACTCCCCAGGGACTCGCCAAGGGACGCCCCAGGAAGTCGCCAAGGGACTCCCAAGGAAGTCGCCAAGGGACGCACCAATGAGTCGCCAAGGGACGCACCAATGAGTCGCCAAGGGAGCACCAGGGACGCTCCAGGAAGTCGCCAAGGTACGCCCCAGGGACTCGCCAAGGAACGTTTCAGGAAGTCGCCAAGGGACTCCCCAGGGAGTCGCCAAGGGACTCCCCAGGGAGTCGCCAAGGGACTCCCCAGGGAGTCGCCAAGGGACTCCCAAGGGAGTCGCCAAGGGACTCCCCAGGGAGTCGCCAAGGGACGCCCCAGGGAGTCGCCAAGGGACTCCCCAGGGGACGCCCCAGGAAGTCGCCAAGGGACTCCCCAGGGAGTCGCCAAGGGACGCCCAAGGGAGTCGCCAAGGGACTCCCCAGGGAGTCGCCAAGGGACGCCAAGGGGAATCGCCAAGGGACGCCCCAGGGACTCGCCAAGGGACGCCCCAGGGAGTCGCCAAGGGACTCCCCAGGGACTCGCCAAGGGACGCCCCAGGAAGTCGCCAAGGGACTCCCCAGGGAGTCCCCAAGAGACTCCCCAGGGAGTCGCCAAGGGACGCCCAAGGGACTCCCCAGGGAGTCGCCAAGGGACGCCCCAGGGAGTCGCCAAGGGACTCGCCAAGGGACGCCCCAGGGAGTCGCCAAGGGACTCCCCAGGGAGTCGCCAAGGGACGCCCCAGGGAGTCGCCAAGGGACTCCCCAGGGACTCGCCAAGGGACGCCCCAAGGAGTCGCCAAGGGACGCCCCAGGGAATCACCAAGGGACGCCCCAGGGAGTCGCCAAAGGAATCCCCAGGGAGTCGCCAAGGGACTCCTCAGGGAGTCGCCAAGGGACTCCCCAGGGAGTCGCCAAGGGACGCCCCAAGGAGTCGCCAAGGGACGCCCCAGGGAGTCGCCAAGGGACGCCCCAGGGAGTCACCAAAGGACGCCCCACGGAGTCGCCAAGGGACGCCCCACGGAGGCGCCAAGGGACGCCCCAGCGAGGCGCCAAGGGACGCCCCAGGGAGGCGCCAAGGGACGCACCAGGGAGTCGCCAAGGGACGCCCCAGGGAGTCGCCAAGGGACGCCCCAGGGAGTCGCCAAGAAACTCCCCAGGGACTCGCCAAGGGACGCCCCAGGAAGTCGCCAAGGGACTCCCCAGGGAGTCCCCAAGAGACTCCCCAGGGAGTCGCCAAGGGACGCCCAAGGGAGTCGCCAAGGGACTCCCCAGGGAGTCGCCAAGGGACGCCCCAGGGAGTCGCCAAGGGACGCCCCAGGGAGTCGCCAAGGGATTCCCCAGGGAGTCACCAAGGGACGCCCCAGGGAGTCGCCAAGGGACTCCCCAGGGAGTCGCCAAGGGACGCCCCAGGGAGTCGCTAAGGGTCTCCCCAGGGACGCCCCAAGGAGTCGCCAAGGGACGCCCCAGGGAGTCACCAAGGGACGCCCTAGGGAGTCGCCAAAGGAATCCCCAGGGAGTCGCCAAGGGACTCCTCAGGGAGTCGCCAAGGGACTCCCCAGGGAGTCGCCAAGGGACGCCCCAAGGAGTCGCCAAGGAACGCCCCCAAGGGACGCCCCAGGGAGTCACCAAGGGACGCCCCACGGAGTCGCCAAGGGACGCCCCAAGGAGTCGCCAAGGGACGCCCCAGGGAGTCGCCAAGGGACGCCCCACGGAGTCACCAAGGGACGCCCCACGGAGTCGCCAAGGGACGCCCCACGGAGTCGCCAAGGGACGCCCCACGGAGGCGCCAAGGGACGCCCCAGCGAGGCGCCAAGGGACCCCCCAGGGAGGCGCCAAGGGACGCACCAGGGACGCCCCAGGGAGTCGCCAAGGGACGCACCAGGGACGCCCGAGGGAGTCACCAAGGGACTCCCCAGGGAGTCGCCAAGGCATGTCAAAGTGGCGAGTCCCTGTGAAACATAGTCACAACAACAACTAATGATGGACGCCAAGCGAGGCTTTCTGCCAGATTTATAAACGCAAACTCCAAGAATCTTGTTCAGAACAATGTATACAGCACCTTGAGGGAGGATGAAGGTTACGTCCGAAAACTTGGGTTTTAATACATTTTCACACATATAAGATCTTTCTTTCACTTTCATTAATACTCATCTTGTGTCAACGGACAGCAGTTCCCTGTTTTCCCCTGAGAAAAAAATTTAACCCGTCATCCTAATAGACGTATACTAATAATAATCCTCCTAACACACATTTTGACGTATACTCTGCCTAAGGCCAAAAATTGTCGTACTAGAAAATGGAAACGACTCGCGTAATTGACATATTGCCCCGTTTTCTGCTTGTGGTTGTCTGGTACGTTAGGATAAAGGCACTTTAGGACGACCGTTTCTTGACAATAGTGAAGATTAGTCGTGTTCACGTTGAGTTTAGTCCCCCCCTGTTGCTGGAGCGAGTCCTGTGGGCCTTCATAGAAAATGTGTTCTAAAACATCTGCTGGTGACCTATGATAGTGTTACCCACAGTAACCAGTACCCTAATGACGAGTGTATCAAGACAGCCACTACCCTAAGACAATGTGTCCCAAGACAACCACTACCCTAATGACGAGTGTATCAAGACAACCACTACCCTAAGACAATGTGTCCCAAGACAACCACTACCCTGAGACAATGTGTCCCAAGACAACCACTACCCTAAGACAATGTGTCCCAAGACAACCACTACCCTAAGACAATGTGTCCCAAGACAACCACTACCCTAAGACAATGTGTCCCAAGACAACCACTACCCTAAGACAATGTGTCCCAAGACAACCACTACCCTAAGACAATGTGTCCCAAGACAACCACTACCCTAAGACAATGTGTCCCAAGACAGCCACTACCCTAAGACAATGTGTCCCAAGACAACCACTACCCTAAGACAATGTGTCCCAAGACAACCACTACCCTAAGAAAATGTGTCTCAAGACAGCCACTACCCTAAGACAATGTGTCCCAAGACAACCACTACCCTAAGACAATGTGTCTCAAGACAGCCACTATGCTAAGACAATGTGTCCCAAGACAACAGCTCACGTCCAGTGTGTCCCAAGACTACACAGCTCACGTCCAGTGTATCCCAAGACTACACAGCTCACGTCCAGTGTGTCCCAAGACAACAGCTCACGTCCAGTGTGTCCCAAGACTACACAGCTCACGTCCAGTGTGTCCCAAGACTACACAGCTCACGTCCAGTGTGTCCCAAGACAAAACACATTCAGCGTGTGTATTAATATGACAAGTCAAAGGTCGTCTGTGTAAAACCAAATAAGACATGGAGGATTGACTCACAGGTTGTGGGGGTGTAGGGAAGGCTGCCCCCCGTCACCCTGGTGCTGGCGAGGGCCGCTGGTGGACGAGGACTCTCCCCCGCTGTCACGGACCAGGCTCTTCAGTGGTGTCTCCCTCCCATCACTACCTGTCCTCACAGTACATGCAGGTAAATTTATCGAGACAATAAACAACAATTCGGCTATCGAGACAACTTTAAACCTTGGTCTGGATGGTGTGGACAACTTTAACCCTTGGTCGGATGGTGTGGAGGCAACTTTATCATTGTAGTATAAACTTTGGTGTGGATGGTGTGGAGGCAACTTTAACCCTTGGTCTGGATGGTGTGGAGGCAACTTTAACCCTTGGTCTGGATGGTGTGGAGGCAACTTTAACCCTTGGTGTGGATGGTGTGGAGGCAACTTTAACCCTTGGTCTGGATGGTGTGGAGGCAACTTTATCTCTTGGTGTGGATGGTGTGGAGGCAACTTTAACCCTTGGTCTGGATGGTGTGGAGGCAACTTTATCTCTTGGTCTGGATGGTGTGGAGGCAACTTTATCTCTTGGTCTGGATGGTGTGGAGGCAACTTTATCTCTTGGTCTGGATGGTGTGGAGGCAACTTTATCTCTTGGTCTGGATGGTGTGGAGGCAACTTTAACCCTTGGTCTGGAGGGTTATTATGACCACACATACACCAGTGTATTATATTAAGTGTATGTTGTGGTCAAACTATATAGTTACATATTACTTGCTTAGCTTCCAAATTAGATTACTAATACAAGAGTAAGATTTATTAAAAAAAATCTTACTCTTGTATTATTAATCTATTTTGGAATTCATAGCAGAGGTTTATGGTCATTCATATAACTATAAACTTGGGGTATGTGAATATACGATAATCTAAGTTGTGAACGATCGATCAACCGATAACTGCTGGAACTCCTCCCATATTCCCCCTCCCCCTTGATGAACCGTTTATAGCTAGTATTGCCAGATGTAAATAGAAATGACTCCCTTGTGTGTTTAGCACATATTAATATATATTCTTATGTACCTTGAGTTTTGTATATATTGTATTATATTATGTAAATATCTAATTAGGTTCAGTATGAATTACATGTAAATATTTATGTTTTGAGCTTCTGTTATGCGAAGGAGGAAGGTTGGAGTGACTTGCCTTGTTGGCAACAAAGTCGTACTCAGCTGGCATGGCCGTTGGCAAGTCACTACTCCCCTGATTTCCCAGATAGGCGGACGTGAGACGTCCAGGGGCCAGATTCACAAAGGTACTTACGAATGTTTTTCTTTTTAGCTACGAATGTTCTTCTTCTTAGCGCCTTCGTAGCAGCTACGTTGGTATTCAGGTAGCCGCACTAAGAAGGAAAACCTTCGTAAGTTTACTCCGTCAGCTAAGTGTGCTGTCGACCACTCGGAGCTTTACGTAAACTGGATATAACTAAATTTTTCTCTACTACATAACTCGGAGGATCGATTTTAAGATTTTAATGTAAACGAAAGATTATAGCTGGTGAATCTCGTGAAGCGGAGTCCTTCGTGTTAGTTATATACGCATTCTCAGCTTGAAACTTGAAGTAAATATGTCTTTTATGATATTAGAATTAGTTTTATAATAGCAAGATATTATACCGGTAATTATTAAGTAAATAAACACAGGTAAACATGAAATATGAGAGAAGGTGGCTGGTGGAAGCATTTACTATCACCAAATGCCCCGCTGCACAAATGTTGTTAGGTAAGAGGGGTAAAAACTTTAAAAACTTCTCTCATTAATTACTTTAACCTATAATTATGACTGGACTATTATGACCTGTTAAAAAGAGGGGGAAGTGGGGGTCCAAGACCTCTTTCTGTTACACAATTTGGCTGTGTAACAATAAGTAATCTATTTATTTTTATTTTATATATATAGAAGGTACATTGGGTTTGTGTGGATACAGAGCATGGTCTTTACATTCTTGTAAAGCCACTAGTATCGCAGCGTTTCAGGCAGGTCAACCTAACAAATAATTTTATGTAGGTAAATTCTAGCAAAATTTATAAAATGTTAACAGGTATATGGCAAGAAAATAAGAGATGAGAGGGATTAGTAGGTATATTAAAGCACATCAGTAGCTGTGATTGATTGCATTGACAGCTTGATTTGTAATTTAACAAAGATTAATGGGCACAATACAGCATTTTGATAGCACATCAGCTACGAGCACATCATCCACGAGGCTACGAGGCCTCAGGGGCCTCGTAGCCTGGTGGATAGCGCGCAGGACTCGTAATTCTGTGGCGCGGGTTCGATTCCCGCACGAGGCAGAAACAAATGGGCAAAGTTTCTTTCACCCTAAGTGCCCCTGTTACCTAGCAGTAAATAGGTACCTGGGAGTTAGTCAGCTGTAACGGGCTGCTTCCTGGGGGGTGTGTGTGTGTTTGTGGTGTGGGGGAAAAAAAAAAAAAAAAAAAAAAGTAGTTAGTAAACAGTTGATTGACAGTTGAGAGGCGGGCCGAAAGAGCAAAGCTCAACCCCCGCAAAACACAACTAGTAAACACATGTAAGAAGATAGCAATGATCACAATGGTAAAGTTGTTTGGATAAGGTACATAAAAGCTGGGGAATTGGTTAGCACCAGATACAGTGCAATTTTAAAGCACAAGGTAGGAAACTACGAAGATGAAATTGGGCACTTTTTGGTTTTGTTTTTCAATGAGGCAAATATAGAATATATATAGTCAAATATAGGAAGGCAAATATAGGAATAAAAATGAGGCAAATATAGAATTTTGGATAAAGCACAAGGTAGGAAACTATGAAGATGAAATTAGGTACTTTTTGTTTTTGAATGAGGCAAAAGTTGGACAGCTTTTCAACTCATTAGGGAGTGAGTTCCATAGACTAGGTCCCTTTATTTGCATAGAGTTTACACAGATTAAGTTTGACTCTGGGGATATCAAAGCTGTAAAAATATTGATGCAGTTATTTAAATAAAAAATATATTGAAAGAAATATTACTGGTTTACTTTTACTCAATCTTTTTGTATTGTTCAGTGTATCCAAAGAAGTGAAAAAATTAAGGCATAATGCACAATTTAATGAATGATTGAAAAGAAATAAGACTATTACATATCAACATGAGATCTTTATGATCCATGGTTAACATTATTTAATAAGGATAATACTGATAATAATACAAGAATAATTAAACATCTTTATTACTGATTTTTTTTTTAAGAAACTTGGGTATACACAGCAATGTGCTGCTACCCTATTCTATATGGAAGATTACACAGTGTAGATAAAAAAAAAAACTAGCTATAAGTTCATCTAATACTCCCATCTCACAGGATGGTTAGGAATACATGGAATCAAAGGAGAAAATGCCAGCCTCGATACAAAAACCAATCAACTCTGACTAAACAACAACTTCACGATTTTCACAAGAGGTAAGCATGGAATCATGGAAACAGTCATAATTACTCTTACCAGTTTTTACAAGACTCCTCTTAAACAATGTATTTTTTTTTAACATGCTTAGGTATACAATGTGCTGCTTCCCTATTCTGTATGAAAGATCACACAGTGTAGATCAAAAACCAGCTACAAGCTCATCCAACATCCCCACCTCACAGGAAGGCCAGTCATACATGAAATCAGGAGAGAACAAAATATTTAAGGCTAATCTATTAGCCTTCACTGGCAAAATCTGGGTGCAGCACAAGAATATCTTCCAATATTCCTGAGTGTATTAAGTAATTACAGAGCTCAAAGTACCTCATACCATTTGGTATAAAGTCACTGATAAGAGGGCAATCACAGATATACTGTTGGAGAGTACAGTATGTCCTCTCAAGTAGGACTGAAAACAGACGTTTTTTCACCCAGAGGGTTATAAACCCATGGAACGGCCTACCCGCTGAAGCCGTATATGCCAAAATCCAGCTAAACAATATCATTAAGACAATTGGCGGGCTCTTTAATAAGCAACCGGCTTTCTGTCCTCGTCGAGGCCACTAGATAGTGGCCCTTGGGTAAATTTAGGTAAATATATACGTAAATAAATACCATTGCTTTTCATATCTTGCTAGCGACAAGGGAAGCCATACACTATCTCTTAGAATTACGTAGGTAAACAAAAAATGTAACATATTTGTATACTACAATGTCGGTGCTGACTGTACAAGTTGAAAAAACATAGTTTTACTTAGAAATGTACTATTTTATAAGAAAATTCGACGTAAATAAGTCGCAAGTGGTCACGGATAAGCTCCGATATCCGAGCGTCGTGATTGGCTACAGCTGTAAGATGAAAAATGTTTCCTTCTCTCTGATTGGCCAAACTAAAAGCCTAGTGACATCTAGCGAGACCTATGTGAACTACATAGAAATCTTCATAAGTTTACTTTTCTGAATCGCCCTTTGGCGCGTTCTTAGCCGACACTTGGGAACCTTCGTAGCAAACCTACTTACGAAGAAATACATGGGGCTTCGTGAATCTAGGTCCATTCCTTTGGTTATATTGTATTTTGTTATTTTTTTACAGTCTCCGTGGTGTAGTGGTAAGACACTCGCCTGGCGTTCCGCGAGCGCTATGTCATGGGTTCGTATCCTGGCCGGGGAGGATTTACTGGGCGCAATTCCTTAACTGTAGCCTCTTGTTTAACGCAACAGTAAAATGTGTACTTGGATGAAAAAACGATTCTTCGCGGCGGGGATCGTATTCCAGGGACCTGCCCGAAACGCTACGCGCACTAGTGGCTGTACAAGAATGTAACAACTCTTGTATATATCTCAAAAAAAAAAAAAAAATTTATAGATGTCTATATTAAAAGAGTAATGCTGTTGTTAGTGGATCAGGCTAACAAGATATATCAGTTATGTCATGTGGTAGGTGATTTGGGTGTCTGAGGATCGTAGGTGATAGCTATTGTGATGCAGTACGTTGCAGATTCCTCACCCACTATTTATGTTAACACCTCTAACCTGTTACTTGGGTTAGTGTACAACTGCGCTGGATTGGAGCCTGGTGTTGGCTAGTCCTAAGTATTATCAGTTACTGATTTTGATAGCTGTGTTTAACTTCGTGAAGTTCTTTGATGTGAATGAACTGTGTGTTGAAGCTCCTTGTTCTGATGAAAGTATCAGATGTATATTAGTGTACATCAGTTTTATATAGAGAATGTTAGTTCTCGGTGTTTTACGGTGACCTGTATATATGTCCCAGTAAACTGGCGTTGTTTTAATCAGCTGTTGTAACTTAATCTAGACACTTATTAAAAATTGGCCAGGCTTTGGTTGGCCAGCGATGCTGTGGATCATGAGATCATGACAGAGTACCTGGTAGTCTGGCAGGTGTGGGAGTATCTGGTAGTGTGGGTGGTGTGGGAGTATCTGGTAGTCTGGCAGGTGTGGGAGTATCTGGTAGTCTGGGTGGTGTGGGAGTACCTGGCAGTCTGGGTGGTGTGGGAGTACCTGGCAGTCTGGGTGGTGTGGGAGTACCTGGCAGTCTGGGTGGTGTGGGAGTACCTGGCAGTCTGGGTGGTGTGGGAGTACCTGGCAGTCTGGGTGGTGTGGGAGTACCTGGTAGTCTGGGTGGTGTGGGAGTATCTGGTAGTCTGGCAGGTGTGGGAGTATCTGGTAGTCTGGCAGGTGTGGGAGTACCTGGTAGTCTGGGTGGTGTGGGAGTACCTGGCAGTCTGGGTGGTGTGGGAGTACCTGGTAGTCTGGGTGGTGTGGGAGTACCTGGTAGTCTGGCAGGTGTGGGAGTATCTGGTAGTGTGGGTGGTGTGGGAGTATCTGGCAGTCTGGGTGGTGTGGGAGTATCTGGCAGTCTGGGTGGTGTGGGAGTATCTGGCAGTCTGGGTGGTGTGGGAGTATCTGGCAGTCTGGGTGGTGTGGGAGTATCTGGCAGTCTGGGTGGTGTGGGAGTATCTGGCAGTCTGGGTGGTGTGGGAATACCTGGCAGTCTGGCAGGTGTGGGAGTACCTGGTAGTCTGGCAGGTGTGGGAGTATCTGGTAGTGTGGGTGGTGTGGGAGTACCTGGTAGTCTGGGTGGTGTGGGAGTACCTGGTAGTCTGGGTGGTGTGGGAGTACCTGGTAGTCTGGGAGGTGTGGGAGTACCTGGTAGTCTGGGAGGTGTGGGAGTACCTGGCAGTCTGGCAGGTGTGGGTGTACCTGGTAGTCTGGGAGGTGTGGGAGTACCTGGCAGTCTGGGAGGTGTGGGAGTACCTGGCAGTCTGGCAGGTGTGGGAGTACCTGGTAGTCTGGGAGGTGTGGGAGTACCTGGTAGTCTAGGTGGTGTGGGAGTACCTGGCAGTCTAGGTGGTGTGGGAATACCTGGTAGTCTGGCAGGTGTGGGAGTACCTGGGAGGTGTGGGAGTACCTGGTAGGCTAGGCGATGTGGGCGTAGGCTTATGTTTGAGTTCGGTGATGCAGTAGTCCATTCGGCGCAGGTTTGCTGAGCGGACGCAGCGGGAAGCGAGGAGCAGGAAGGTGTTGGCACACAGCGTCAGCAACATGGGCACGTACAGATACACCAGTTTGGCCTTCTGGTCTGTGGATAATTCAATCAGATTTGTAAATGCAGTCATATTCCCTTAACATGTTCTTTGGATTATCTAATTTCCAAAATATGTGACTCTGGAACAGCAATGTTTACAGCACTGCTCCTGCAGGGGTAGGTACACCATGGGAGACTGACCGGAGAAGAAGCAGTTGTAGAGACCAATCCTGGGGGTGATGACGCTGCAGGGGAGGGAGGCGCGGTAGTGGTTGAGGGTGAGGGCCAGGCTGGTGATGAGCCCCGGCACGCCCCAAGCCCACAGTGAGTGTAGTATGTACCGCCAGCCCTCATCTTCACCAAACATTCCGAACCTCCTGTACACAACATAACAATATTCACTATGACTTGTTTCCACCAAAAGTCTGTATGGAGATTAGGCAATAATTCATATTCAAATATAAGTTCCATAACTAATGACGAACTTTCATACAACCAATAAACCTTTAAGACAATGAATGGAAAACCACTTAAATAAGGGAACACAGAAACAAATGCGATAAATTAAAACAAGGATAGTCTGATAGCCTGAAACAAGGTCCCATGCCCCAGATTACTGATGGATGTAAACAGGAACTTAGTCTAGCTTTCTTATAAATAATCTATAGAAAATTAATGTTGAGTGTTTAGGTGCTCATACAACGATGCTTCAAAAAGTTGTGACAAAGTGCACCTGATTAGTGACACTGGCTTGCCCTGGTTATCTTGAGATGATTTCGGGGCTTTAGTGTCCCCGCGGCCCGGTCCTCGACCAGGCCTCCACCCCCAGGAAGCAGCCCGTGACAGCTGACTAACACCCAGGTACCTATTTTACTGCTAGATAACAGGGGCATAGGGTGAAAGAAACTCTGCCCATTGTTTCTCGCCGGCGCCGGGGATCGAACCCGGGACCACAGGATCACAAGTCCAGCGTGCTGTTCGCTCGGCCGACCGGCTCCCACAGCGTCAGCAACTGTGGGTCTGTAAAGTTGCACTTCAAATTGTTAAAAGGTTACAACTTTATTTTGAATTCGTGCAACTTTCATATTTATAATTTAGAGTTTTGCATTAACCTTCAGGACAGTTGAGAAGAATTGGCTCATTGTGATATTATGAGCAAATTGTTTACGGTTATGCTTATTATTAAGTTTAAATCTATATAAATAAAAATGGAAATGTTCGTTTGTACATAACCGCTAATCTCCGAAAGTTCTTCACGGATTGCTTTGAAATTTTCACACTACGTTCCATTCGCGTTCTAGCAGGTTTTTATATACATACTATATAGATGTCAAGTCTGTGACGATAAAAAAAAATGCTTTTTCTGAAAAACTGTGTTTTTCATGTGAGGGAAATTTTCGAAACCTCTTTACCGATTGCTTGGAAATTTTGACACAACGTTGCATTGGAAAAGGTGCACGTCTTTTTATATATCTACTATATACATGCCTCACCTGTGATAGGAAAAAACATGTTTTTAAAAAAAAAAAAAAACAGCGCCATCTGCTGGACGTAAGAGCAACGCTCGCTGTAATGTTGACCAGACCACACACTAGAAATTGAAGGGACGACGACGTTTCGGTCCGTCCTGGACCATTCTCAAGTCGATTGTGATGAGGACAGGTAGGGACAGGCATTAAATAGGCAAGAGAGAGCTGAGGAGGAAAGTCAGGTGTAGGGGATAGTAGTAATGAGAACTGCAGCAGGCCTATTGGCCCATACGAGGCAGCTCCTATTATAACCACCGAAGGAGATAGTAATAGGAATAAGAAGAGGATAGCAAGCGTAGAAGCGTAGAAGACAATGAACAGAAAAAGGGAGAAGAGAGAAAGAAAGGGAAAGAGAAAGAAAGAAACATTTCTAGTGTGTGGTCTGGTCAACATACTTCAGCCACGTTATTGTGACTCATCGCCTGCAGGCTGTTATCTCCAAAAGTTCTTCACCGATTACTTTGAAATTTTGACACAACGATGCATTCGAATAGGCGCGTCTTTTTATATACCTACTATATAAATACCACCCCTGTGACAGGTAAAAACATGCGTTTTTGAAAAACAGCTCTATCTGTTGCACATAAGACCAACACATGCTATACTAAATATGTTATGATTCCATTTCAATGTTTCCGATTTCATTGATAAATTGAGTTTTCATAAATTCCGATTTATTTTCATTTTTATTTAATTATTTTGTGTGACATTGCCTTGGAATTGAGCTGTGTTGTTTACCATACCGTTCATTTCGTGAGTATAGTTTATTTCTTATTTTTTCCTTATTTTTCATTTCGTTTTTTGAACTGTTTTTCTTATATTTCAGTGATGGGAACATCTGGGGCCAGATTCACGAAGCAGTTACGCAAGTACTTTCGAACGTGTACATCGTTCCTCAATCTTTGATGGCTTTGGTTACATTTATTACACAGTTTACAAGCATGAAAATTTGCCAATCAACTGTTGTTATTGTTAAAAACAGCCTCCTGGTGCTTCGGAGCTCATTAACTGTTTAATAATTGGAAACAAAGCTGCCAAAGATTGAGAAAAGATGTACAGGTTTGTAAGTGTTTGCATAACTTCTTCGTGAATCTAGCCCCCAGATCATTAGATGTTCCCAGTTTTCTGATGAGAACATCAGATCATTTGATCATCAGACGAGGGAGTGGGGAATGGTGGGGAGGACGAGAGGACAGGGGAGGGGATTATAGTGGGGAGGACGAGGAAACAGGTGAGTTGGGTGTTGTGGGGACGAGGGGTATGGAAAATGGTTGGGAGGACAAGGGGATAGGGGATAGTGAGGAGGACGAGGGATGGGGGAGGAGGAATGGTAGGGAGGACGAGGGAATGGGGGAGAGGGAGATAATGGGGAGGACGAGGGGATGGTGGAGTGGGGATTGGTTAGGAGGACGAGAGGATGCTGGAGTAGAGGCTGAAGGGGAGGAAAAAGGGACGAGGGAGTGAGGAATGGTTGGGAGGACGAGGGGACGTGGGAGGGGAAATAGTGGGGAGGACTGGGAGACAGAGGAAGGTTGCTGTAACCACAGCAACGCGTGGCCGGGTACAGCTAGTAATAAATACGTTTAAACAATACACATTTATGTTGTGTATTATTATGTATAAAATTTAGAAGGTAAAGTAAATATATCATAATTTGACAGAAATTCACAAAGCATTAGAAAATTACAACTAAAGATTTATAGAATTACCCATCAACATTACCTTGAACACGCAGCTAATGGAACGTAGATCTGATTTAAACAGGATTGCAACTGCTTGTCAATAAGCAATCTCTTTGTGACACTAATTCCTTAGTAATTCCAAATATTCATCTTGGGGTCTTCTTGCCTTCTCAGCTCACTATTTATTTTCTTCCATCATGCAGACCTGCTACACCTTTACACTAATTCTTAGTGTGGAAAATATCAACAGCCTCATCTAAATAATTATCGTGTGGATTTTCACAGTGGACTCACACTCACGGGCAAATTAATTAGTAAATAATCACAAATTAAATTTAATGAAAAAAGTTCTTCGCCTACGCGCGCGCGAAGGCTGACGGGAGCAAGGAGACGCCGCGGTTGTTCAACGTCCTCCCAGCAAGCATAAGAAATATTGCCGGAACAATCGTGGACATCTTCAAGAGGAAACTAGTTGATTCCTCCAAGGAGTGCCGGACCAACCGGGCTGTGGTGGGTATGTAGGCCTGCGGGCCGCTCCAAGCAACAGCCTGGTGGACCAAACTCACACAAGTCAAGCCTGGCCTCGGGCCGGGCTTGGGGAGTAGAAGAACTCCCAGAACCCCATCAACCAGGTTTCAACCAGGTATCATTATACTGCTGTTCAACAGGGATCAACAAGACGCACCACACGTCAGCACCTGCTCTTAGTGTTTCTTATTAGTGTGTCTTTAATTTCAGGAATTATCCACTTAGTTCTTTACAAAGTAATCACTAAGTTCCAGAGACTATATAAACTGAACAAGAAGTGCCATATTGCACTGGACATTTTAACAGTACTGAAAACTGGACTGGTTGAGGTGACGCCGAGTGTAACAGCCCACCAAACAAAATATTGTGCTCATTTATCCACCAAGGACACAGGGTCGGCTGAAGACGTTGGCCTGAGCACCCGGGCACCTGTACCAAGTATTGTGCTCATTTATCCACCAAGGACACAGGGTCGGCTGAAGACGTTGGCCTGAGCACCCGGGCACCTGTACCAAGTATGGTTATGACTGAACAAATCCACAAGGGCCGTGACGAGGATTCGAACCTGCGTCCGGGAGCATCCCAGACACTGCCTTAATCGACTGAGCTACGACAGAGTAAATCTTATGGATTTGTTCATTTGATGCATCACGTTAGTGTGATCTCTGTGTTATGGTTATGACTGTTGGTATTGTTTAATTGACGTCAATTTATGTACCAATGTCATATACCTGTTCCAGGTCCTAGTTAAACTGTAGGGGTTTTACCCAACAAAAACGTGAGTATATAAAGCTCTATTAGTGATTTCTTGCAGATATATAACTTGAACTATTTTTGTATCGAAACAGTTCATGGAATAAACATTTATTGATTTAGATCATTAGGCTAGGCTACTTTAACTGGTTGTCGGAGGCTTGCCCCGAGACATACCAGTTTTCAGTGTAATAATTTAAATAATTAATTTACTGTAAAACTAAATGCTGAACTCTAACAAGATCAAGAACAACGATATGGCTCTGCAAGTGATCTTTTCCCAGCATCAAATTACCTGAGGAAGTCGACACTAACAAAGCAGCTTTATCTTATGTTTATTTTAACCATAGACTTTTGAGAAATTCATTTAGTTTGTTGCTTTGATAAATAGAGTAATTGACAGGTATTTAAATCTGTATATTTATCTATAAGTTTTACCATGTATGTATAATTTATATACTACTGGAAATTAAGTCAGGGAATTAAGTCGAATAGTAAATCCCACACTTCTATTTTCTTACAGTCAAATAGATATTTCTGACAAAGTTTGAGAAACCAGTGATAAGCGAATAGCTGAAAAAAAGAGCCCATTCTATTGGCTGGATGGATGATTAATTAATAATAAAGATTAATTAATAATAAATAATCTGCTTTGTACATATACCCAAGCAGTAGGTTAGCGATTTCTTAACTGATAGAAGATGACTTTATGAGAAATGAAGGTATGAGTGTAGATTTGGTGGTTTGAAGTAGATAGTGATGTAGGCTTCGACTCGGTTTTCCCCCTCCCCGCTCAGCTCGTTGTTGCCCTGAGGGGGGCTTAGTGGGCGGCTGCCGGAGTGTGATGCTCCTTGGGACAGTCCTCTGTCCTTTTCTAGCCTTGTG